AGGAGAGAAAGCCTGGGGGGGGGAGCTTCTTCACTTCCCATCTTGAGAGGTTTCCTTCCCCTGGTACAGCCGTTTTCCTTCGGAAGGAGCAGAGGAGGAGCTGGGGGGAGAATTAGGGAGGCCCAACCCGAGGTGAAGACGTGTTTCTCTTCGCCACGCCAGGCCCCTGTGGGCACGACTCCCTCGACAAGGCCCCGGCCTGACCAGACTCAGGCATCTCAGAGGCCAATGCGGACGGTCAGGTTGCCACTGGCAGCACGAACCAACAGGGAGAGAAATCCCGCCGGACAAAAGACAGGGAGGGAACTGCAGCTGAAGAGGCCTCCTTCGGCCCCTGCTCCCATGTCGCCTCCTCTTCTCTCACCTCGCGGTGACTCCGATGCCAGCACGCCGAAGCCAAGGCTGGCGTACAAGGAGCAGTCAGCTGCAACCACTGTTCCTCCAGGTTAAAGTCATCTTAACCAGGCTGCAGGTCAAAAGCACGCGCACATGCACGCACACACGCACTGCCGTCACCTGCAGGTCTGGTGGCCGCTGGATGCTGGGGGTGGGATAAAGACTTGGGGCTAAAAACGGTTGCTCTTTTCTCTCCCAAGAAATAAAGGGATCAGGAGGTGCTCCCAAGGAATACAGTTCCTGTTTCAGATGCCACGAGGGTGCCGCAAAATTTCAGCTTGGGTATTTCCAGAGTTCGGGCAGGCAGCCATGCGCTAAATTACAGCTCTGCAAACATACCTGGGGAGGCCTTTCCAAGCCAAAACAGACATCCTGGAGTGACCCACACCTCTGTGGCTTTGATCTGGGATGGTACTTATTCTTCACCAATGTAAGTCAAATTTATGAGTTCAGCGTATAAATTTATAGGCTGCCAATTCTTAACAACTCCGGGCAGTGCCCAGGTTCCTATCATTTTTATTTCCAGGCTAAAGTGAGCCCACTGTCTGGGGATGAGAGGAACGGCCTTCCAATCCACCTGGAGGGCACCACCACGGGCAGGCTGCGTGCCCGCCTGATATGCCCTGCAGCCAGATTGCAAAAGTCACCTCGTTTCCTACCAAAGGCTTGTCGGGGAGCAGGGGAGAAGCAAGGAAAGCCGTGACCGGAAAGTCTGCCATTTCTCCCCAGCCATGTAGTGAGATGGGAACTTGCAGAATCACACCACTAACCTGATGAGGAAGCTCTCTAGAGGAATGGAGACCAGGAACCAGGGCAGGAGTGGAGGAGGCAGGCAGAGGAGCCGAGGAGGAGGAGGAGGAGGAGGGTGGCTGGGGGCCTCGGGCTCCGGCCAGGCCAACAAGCCAGGTGCTGCCCGAGGAGAGAGGCTGGCGCAGCCGCTCTGCCCGGCCTCTCAGCGCCAGCTCTTGGCGGGGACAGCTGCGGTGGGAGGAATGGGGAGGGAAGCGACGGAAGAAAACAAGCACCCAGCTCTCAAGGGGCCGAGCCAGGGAGGGGAAGGCAGGCTACCTTTCCTGCAGCTCCGCTCCTCTCTAGGCCCAGGCGTGCCAGCCACGTTCGGCAATTACGCTTCCCCCTCCCCAAAGGCGCCCTGCTCTCACCACTGGGTAACTTAGAAACCAAGAGGTGGGGACAGCACAGCCCCCCCGCCCCGTTCAGGGCACAGGGTGGAGTGCAGGAAAGGCCCAACCGGCTCCTGGTGAGAGATAAAATAAGGTCTGGCTGGCAACCCATTTTGCAGGAAGGGAGGCCCATTGCCAGCCCCACCGGGGTGAGGAAAATGCTCCACCATGCCAACAGGCTGGAGGAAAGGCCTGGGGATGGCTGGGCCCTTCATTTACCCCCCTCATCTTTGCCTTGGGGTGTGGGTAAGGTCTAGCAGATGAATGCAAGGACCTCTCAGAGGGAGAGGAAGATCTGGCCCAGGCCCAGGGCTGGGGAGTGAAGCTTCTGCTCCAGGAAAGGTTAGATAAACGCATGCCAACCTACTGCCACCCCGGCAGAGCTGCTTAGGAGCAGACAAACACACACCTCAGGCTTTCTCTCCCTGGCAGCAATGCAGTATTGGCTCCTCCTGCCAGCAGATTCATCCAAAGTTTCAGGCAACAGAAAGCCGAATTACTTATTTGCCGTGGCAGCCACTGGCCAGTGTAAGGTTTGGGCCTGATTCCAGGACACCCTGCAAGAAACGAGCGTGGCATCTTACCGGAAAAAAGGAAACGCTGGCAGTTGCCTTTTTTTTTTTAGCAAGAGCAGCTGAGACAGGGATCCCTTCACCCAAAGGGCTGAAAATCTCTGCGTGCTATATTTGGAATGAAGTGAGAGACAGGTCCGGCGACCATTTGTGTATAATACTGTGGTTGTTTTGCCTGGTACGGAACGACTAGAAACAAACATTTTCAATGTTTTTCAAGCAACTCCAGCAGTCGCCTGCCTGACCCCCATTATGGTTCGTCCAGCTTCTCCAAGGCACCTCTATTTTAGGAATATTCAGAAATAGCACAGGCACAACTTCAGTCTAAAAACCGATTTGTCCACACACCAAGTTATTCCACGGCTTGGTTTTTTCTAGCCCTGCTCGATACTTTATTTTTTCTGAAGTAATTTTACACGCACAGGAACAGCTGGTAACCACCCAGGATGGACTAAATCTAGACACTCTAGCCTTTCCCACTGCTGGGAGGGCTAGAGAGGAAAACGCCCTGCGATCCCTCGTAATCCCTGCACGTCAGTCCCAAACAGACCGGTTTCCTAGATCCGGAAGCCAAAGATTCACACCAAGATATACAAATATCTTCCTCTTCCAAAACCAGAAGCAACTCTCCTGCTCAGAACTGTTTAGCTAGGCCCAGCCAAACAGCACAGGAGGAAGAGCTCCCTTGGTTTAAAGGAATACTCAAAGCCAGGAACTCTCCTGACCTCTCAAACCTTGAGGGATGGACTTCCCCTCGGAAAGATTTAAATTTAAATCAAGTCATTGTTAGACTAAATGTGCGAGAAGGGCACCAAATGGATGGGCAGGGGTTTCGATACAGAATAATTAGCTGCCCTGCTATCGGAGGCAGATAATGGAAGAGAGGGCCGCTGGCTCTGAGCAAAAGCCTGGCTCTCTTGCTATTTTGCTCTGGGGCCAGCGTATTGCACACAGCCCCCCCACCCCTCCGGTTCCAAGAATGAGAAAACGTTTTGGACCCGTGTGATGGAAGATTAAGCTGCAACGTCTTTGGGGTTGGGGGTCTGCCACACTGGGATGCTGAAATCACTCGGGGGACAGCCAAGGTGTCAGAAAGATATTTCTGGCCCATGGTCAGAATCAACGTTGACTTGGCGTCGGGGTGCACAATACTATCGGGTCCTATTCGCCTGCATCCCACCCGAAGAGAACGGAGGAACCCTTCCGCCACGTTTATGCCCTTATTAAGCCAGACGCCACGTGTTGGGGAAGGATGGAAAATTAACTGACAGGACGAACAGCAAGGGCAGAAGCTGGGAAAAGAATCTGCAAACCCAGAAGCCCACCTGCTAAGAGGCTGATCAGATGTTAACTGAGATGCTATTTCACAGCCAGAGGGATCTTGGAAAGCCTGCTTCCGTTTCGTTAGCGCCCCGGACTAAGCTGTACATGTTTATCCCCCCCTCCCTCTCCCTTACGGCCCCCCTTCACCCTGCATCTACACTGACATACATTTGGGGCAGAGACCAAAAAAAACCCACGATGCACAGCAGCGACATCCAGCAGGGCCTCCCGAAAGTTGCAGCTGGAATGTGCCGCTACCTTTGAAGAGACTTCATCCTTGCACTGCTGGGCATGTACAAACTCTTGCCCCTTCTCCACCCTCCAAAGCAGAGGCAGATCACCCACTTCCCAGCTTGCCCAAATCAGACCTCCTTTTCTCCAGCATGGGGCTCAAAACCCACACTCCGCACAGGTTGGGCTAGAAGCCCCTTTTCATTTCCTTCATCAAGAGTTTACTCTTCCAGATTAAAGCCCAGGGCAGCTGCCCACCCCAACCTAGCCAAGTCTGGCAAGAGATTAAATTCCAGTCCATTTAAGAGAATTAAGACTAGACCATCTGCTAACTTAAAACACTAAGCAGGGAAGCAAAAAAAGAGTCCTCAGACCAACTCACGACAGGGGGAGGGGAGGTTAATTTTAATGAAAATACAATACCGATGGGCTTGGTAGGAGCCGGAAGCATAACAAACCAATTGCAGGAACAGCACTGGCAGCAGAATGAGGTCTGTGAGCCCACAAAGCACATTATCCTCAGGCACAAAGGGAGATGGCCACTTCTGAATAGCACCAAGTGATTTAAGTCTTTCCTGGATGGCACCAATTCAAATGCAAGCAACAGTAGGAAAAGCAGCATTAAGAAATAGACAGTGGTATGCCTGGAATTCGAAAGTAACATCTCAGCAAAAACACTTAACTTTCCGACAAGGCTACCTCGGGTACTGGCCCTGTCCATCACCCCACCCCATTCCGCCCCTCCCCGAAAGGCTTTTTGATGGGACTCAATACCTGGCATCTGATTCACAGCACCCCCTTCAGAGCACACCTCGCTTCAGAAACCAAGGCCCCAAGAACAAGTGGCTCTCTTAGCAGGAACCCTCTGGAAAAGCATAATAAAGGGGCTTGGGGTTCTTTTTGTTATACTAATGGACCGGTAACACAAGGTAACACAAATAGAGGGTTGGCTACTTCTGCAGCCCATAGATTTCTCAAGGATTAGAGGGACCCGATGTGAAAGTCCAAAGGAGGGGGGGAGGAAAAATCAATAAAGATCTTTACGCCTTCCTCCCCTAACAATTCGGCTTTTCTGTTTTGACCAAATCCACACAGTGTTGGCATTTATTTACTTATGGCAGAGATCCCCAAATTCTGCAAAGCCTGGTAGGACAGCACAAGTTTTGTCTGCTGGAGGGAGGGAGAGGAAAGAAGTTGCACAGGACTTGGGAGGAAAGCAGAAAACCAAGAACAAAGCCACTTAGACGTTAATTCCGTCCATCGCCAGCAGGCACCAAAAACGCAGCTGCTCAAAACTCCAACTTGGGGAGAGGGGCCTTCGCCTCCCCACCTCTCTGCCCTTCCCCAGGTTTCGCTGGGAGCCCCAGCGTAGGCCCTGCCGTGCCCCACGGAGAGAACGGGCGCTCCCTCGGCGACTTAGGTCCCGCAGACATGACCACGCACCGCCGAAAGGAAACGGGTAAGTAAACGCGACATTTCCAGACGCGCCTACGACGCCTTCATCGCCCGCACTCCGCCGTTTGGCGAATTTCAGAAAAGCCA